TTGAACGCGGTAACAATCCTACCATTAGTGTAGGATGTTATAGCTTAAAATTAAACATAGCTTACCTGTCATTAGGATCTCGTGGTATTGATTTATTTTGTTCAACATAATATGTTGAACTAACATAACATATTTGATTTGTGTATTCTATATAAGCTTTATTAAAATTTGCACGATTCCAACATTCAATTCGATCGTCATCAAACTGTTTTGTAGCTGTTATTGTCGAAGATAGTATTAGTATTGCTACTGTATATTTATAATTAATCATATCAAATATATCATCATCTGTACGAAGACTAGACAATAAAATCGTCGGTACTAATGTAATTAAATAGAATAAATCGACCATAGTTAAAAAGGTAATATTATAAAACACGTATGAAAATTATACAAATATTATATCACAAGAAATGATATTATTCTGAATTTGATCACAGATAACTGCGTATATACGAATTGATGGATTTATTCGAATTAGTTTATATCCACATTTTGCTTATGAAGAGCTTTTACGTATAAAATAAGAGAAATAGTAGATCGATAATTGATTAGCTGTACGCAATCCTTGAATATAATCATTTGTTTAAACACGCAAAATACCATATGGGCAACAATTAGCTGTTATGGACAATAAAATTTCACAGAGTTTGATCTAGGAAAATATAGTTTGCATATAAGTTCTGCTTAATGTATAAGTCAAAGAAAGCATTTGCATGCATGCATAATGTATACAAATCTAGAAAGAAATTTTGTTTTGTTTTTTTGTTTTATTCTATGGGAATATACCTTCCAGAAATACATATCAATAACCAGACGTAACCGAGTTTTTTCAAACAGATTATTAATTACATTAGAAAAGAAACATATAATAACAGTTCTGTTTTTTCGCTAGGAGTGTAGCAAAAGTGTATATAATATGAAGTAATGAGAACAAAATTCAGATGTTATATAATGACTATCAAATTTATTGAGATACAACTTCGTTTATTAGCGACAAAGAGTTCGAACACCAAGGACCTCTGTGTTTCACAAAAAGAAAAAGAAAGATTTACCCGAAGATTGTGTTTATTTATATTTAATGATAGAAAACAGTTCAAATCAAACTATAAATAGTAAAAAATTGTATGTTACCTATACATTATTTTAAGCATAATATATTTTCCATTCGCCCTCATTAGTAGAAAAGATATTTTTAAACTGTGCATGATAAAGTATGTACGCGTGCAGAATATTAAAAAC